CACAGAAGTCGACGAATTTCACGTGTTCAACGCATGCTTCGAAATAGACCCCTTTACAATTGGGGTTTACACATTGATTCGCCGAATTGAGGTATGCGATGAGTTCCCTGAAACAGAAAACCTTTTGGTTTTTGCTTTTTTTAGCTAATAATTTCTGATCTCTTACAGTACTCTACTGTACTCTCTTTAAACTAATTCGGAGAGAATAATGATTGAAAACTAGAGATTGTGATAACGTTCTCAGGGAACCGGTTATAATCTCTGCAACTTTACACCAAAGTTCTTAACCGTTCAAAAAAAGTCATGGTTCGAAAAATCATTGGTGATATGTGGCAACTGATAAGTATGGGTCGACATGATGTTGAAAAGCGAGTGAGCTCCTATCAGGAAAGCTCCGAGTGAAAAAAAAATGTGATTTGCATTCGAATGACAAAGATCAGTTCGTTCAAAGAATACGCTGTAAAGTAGGGTTGCAACGAAAAATCACCTTGGCAACACTTCCTTCAAGGGTAACTTGGACATCTTCAGTCGTACAAGACGTCCTGCTAGTTCTTTCAGCTTCGGTGGTTCCAACTGCATATTGTGGACAAAGTGGTGAACTGAAAATATCTGTAACTACTTGGAGTCCATAAAAAACTCTCGACTTCTTTCACTTTTGGGGATGGGTAAGTTCTGGTTCAATCAGATGGCAAGCCTCCCCACTTTTTGACTTGAATACCTAAAAAGGCTTCATAATGCTTCACAAAAGCAGCAACATTCACGTTTTCACGAAAGAGTAATCTCGTTTAGGTTGCGCCATGCATTCTTTAATCTGGGATTATGGGACTTATAAATGTGCAGATGGTATGAAAAGCACAAGAACAGACGCGAGCGGTTGCGCAGCAAAATCATCATGTGATTGGTGCACCCAAATACGACCAATCAAGGGACTTTCAGAGGTCTAAACTACCAAACGTGTCAGCGAAGAGTTACCCTTGGTATACCTATCGGGCACTTATTTAAAAAAAAGGAAGAGGGATAGACCTACGTACAAGGGTGCCAGGGTTAGACTACACCTGATTAACAGGGAGTTCCAGGCATAATTAATACCGAAAAAGCTCTTGAATCAAATCATAAAGTAAAATAATAATTGAAATAGAATGAAATGTACCTAGTGGGTTGCTTCGGAGACTAAGTTGTTGAAGATTTCGAAGTTTCACAATCTCCGTGGGCAAGGTCTAAAGATTCAAGCCTGTGATAAACTGTACTAAAACTAGCTAGTATGTAATCCCAATCGTTTTATAACTTACTTTCAGAACATTGTTGTGTAAAGATAGGCTTTCGAGATTTCTGAGTTCACCAAATGTTGATGGGATCGTTTCGAGCTGATTGTCGCATAACGACAGGGACGACAACTTCTGAAGTCTCCCGATGGTGGCTGGTACTTCATGTAGAAGGTTGCCACCAAGATAGAGAATTTCCAGTCTATAAAGAAGTAAAGTTACTATTCGAATGATCCTCCTTAGAATTTGATCTTCAGAGAGCGGGAAAGAGCTGAATGCCGGTACTGGAATGGCGATAATCATTCAGTCATTCTCAGTTCGCTCATAAAGTGGTCCAAAGTCACCTTTCCTCTACCAAATCAGAAGATAAGGCCTCCTAGCAAGGGTGTCTTGATCGTTATCAATGATGGAACCAACAGAACTGATTTTCTACTTACTTGGACATACTTCCAATAGCATACGGTACGGTTTCGATACGATTTCCACCTAAATGAAGCACCCGTAAGCGATACATGCTGAAGACAGGTGGTGGTACAGTCTCGAAGCGATTTCCAGATAGGTATAGAGCTTCCATATGCTCCAGATTAGCCATAGATTTCGGAAGTTCCTCGAGAAGATTATTACGTGCTGCGAGGGTCCGTAAATGAACCATCGAACCGACATCTTCGGGCAACACTGACAAGCCATTGCTTGAGACGTCCAGGCTGAAATACTACGAAGTACGAGGCCACCCTAGAAGTTATCAGGACCAACCTGCACAACTGAAATGCTTACCTGACTAGATTTGCAAATGCTGGTAAACATTCAATGTGTAGAAGATTGTTTTTGCTGACATTCAGACGGCGAACCTCGAGCGGATCATACTCTTCGCCAGTGGTTGGGTGACGACGAGGCACACGTTCCAATTGCTTCCCTTCGAAATTCAAGTCGATTGGGCGAGAACTGTAAGAAAACAAGTTGAAAAATGGATGGAATGTAGTCAGTAGTAAGGAAATGGGATTGGTAAATGTACGGACTTTCCAGGTTGTTGCAAAGTGAACGCGGATGGATTCGATGGGCCGGGTTCGGGTGTCGGCAGCATCACGCGACGCCACCACCTGCTCTGCGATTTGGGCCCGGCGCAAAGTCGACCGGGTAGGGTCACATGTGGTGCACGTGTTCCCGTCTGTCCCCTCCCACTATCGTCGCATTGATGGGGGGACCTACCGCTTTTCGGCCTTCTCCCACTTCCCCCTCCCTACATCGCCGCTGGTTTCTCGTTTTGGTTGGGGCGACAAGGAGATGAAGTGGGAACACGTGTATTGCGTGAGCATCCAGTTCTCCTAGGGGTATCCCTGGAACTCTGGTCACACTCCATCTGAAGAAACACCGAGGAACATAGCTTCAATTGGTAAACTATGTTTCAACGGCTCCGTACGCGGTCTACCATCCAAAGCATGGCTGAAGCAGACGAAATTTCAAAACAACCTTTTGGACAGAGGGATCATAGAGGAACCAGAGGTAGCACAGCAAGTTTTTGAAGAGGCAGATTTACTGGCTGCAGAAATTGAAGAAAAAATAGATGGTATGTTACCAAAATATACTACATATACAGTATTTTAAAAAATAGCACGAAGAAAACTCGTACACAGCATGTGCCCGGAATCTGAAATCGTGCAACAACTGGGGTGCAGAATTCCACTCCGCTCTTGCGAATCATTAGGTAAGTAGCACAAGAGGCCCGCGATAACTGGTTTGGAATTTTTCGTGATACATTCATTGTCAATCTATGATCTACTTATCTGTCTTACTTTTCAAGTATTTCAGGAAGAATGATTATTCATAAATAATCCTCAGGATGAGAACTTCAATGGCAATTACTTTGTTCTAATCGATAGTAAGAAGGAGGGAGAATCAGAGAAAATGAGGGGTAGGTATTACTTGACAGTAATTAGGAAATTGAAAGAAACCGTCGAATATCAGACAAGGATGCTGTAACGTGAGCAGTCTCCAGGGCCGTACGCACTTGGACAATTTTCAAATCCAGAATACAAATTGAACCTGCCCTCACTGCCAAACCCACCAGAAGTTGCCTTTGTATCAAAAATGCATCGTTCTCTGAAGCGGTGAGTAGCGAGCTCTTTTTATATCTTGAAGTAGGCAAGCGCATGGCTTATCTTCCAAAATGAACGCCACCAGAGGAGGGTTCAAACTCTAATTTCATGGCTGTAATCAGTGGCAATTAGAGTTAAGTTATAATGGGGAGTGATCTATGAAAATGGTTGAGTAGGAACTGCTGGCAGAAGGTGAACATCAATATATTATTCAAGAATAGACACTGCAAATTTTCAGGAATTGAAATTCCCATGAAGTCAATTCGTGTTTGATTGTTTCACCCATCGATCTTTGATGTTTACGACTGTAAGATTTGATCATGAAAATGTGCATTTTTCATATGAGCAATTTGATTTTGAGACCGATTGTTTGATTTTTCGACCTATGCGTCATCTATATACAGGCACTCAGCTGTGGACATCAGGAAAATGTTCAAAACTTCATCTCCAAGTTACTTCGTTATACTCGACAGTACACAAGAGGGAGATTCAAAAAAAAAAAACGGAAATACGTATGTATGACTTGCCATTAGTGCAAAAATGGGTGAAATAGCTCTACTTTCAAACTTCTTATTGGAGTTTACCACTGCGTGATCAGTGATAATTTCCGACAAAAGGCACAATAGACACTATAACAGGAAAGAAATTGAAGATAATCAATAATGGTACTTGTGGACCAACCCATTTTATGCCCAGGTTGATCGTAGATCTATTTGTGTTGGCTGTTCAATGCACGCTTTGGAAACTTTTGACTAGACATACCAAAAGTATCCTAGCAGGAAAAGACAGGCTGGCACTACTGGTATTTTTATTGCTCATTCATTTTACTAGGTATTTCCTCAAGGCTCACTGAAGTGGTGCAGTAGGAACGAATATGATATGTCGCGTCGCGGCGAGAGAGACTCCGCGCGCGAAGGAATGTAGCAGAATACAGCATCAAGCAAGAAATTCTGTAGCAAAAGAACTAACAGTAGAACCATGCGAAAAGTAATAATCGCATATCGATTAAGCTGTAGGAAGATTGCTAGAACTGCTATAATGAGGCAAATGGTCCGCGACAGCCGTGTGTGGTGGATCGATTAAACAAAACCGTTCCTACTGCCCGTCTCCCCTTACGGGTACCAATACCCGTCAAAAGTGAAAAGAATGGATGAGAAACGAGGAGTTACAATCAATTTTCACATTCACCCCCATAAACTATTCCTGTCCCACTCACCCTTTCCCCTCCCGTTCTCGTCAGCTTCCCCTCCTTTTCCTTTTCTATCATACTGTCAGGGATTTTTTCACCGCACGTTTCACCATACTGAGAATAGCCACGTAAAAACCGATCTAGAAGAAAGCCCGAGGGACCAAATCTTGCCAAACGTATAGAACAGTGAGGGATTGATAGCTGAGTATTAGATGAACGGTCAAAATACTGAAAATCAGGAAATGAAAACCAAAATAGCTGATCATCTTACTCATACTTGTCCATTACTACTTGAGCTCTCATTTTCTTTTCAAAGTTCCTGCCATCCATCGAACTCAGCTGCCAGGGAATATGAACTTTCAAATCCGTAATTTCAAACTGCTCTTTGGTGATTGTTCGTTTGAACTGCGAACTTTGGGTCATTTGCTCTTTCACCCTACCACGTGGTACCACGTCTGCCTCACTCAAAAAAAGGATGTACTGTTATTATTTTTGTTACGCCCAGTGACGTCATCTAGACAGCAAAACACATTCAGCACTGTTTGTTGAATACTTGTTTCTACAGAGTAAATGTAAGGAACTAGTGTAATCACCAATGCAATACGACAACAATGTTTGTTCGCATAGTTCACAAACTTTAGTTATTTCTTTACAGCACACTGTAAGGGATCTCTGGTATTTACTCTCGAAACATCAGTTTTAGACTACCATTTACTTTACCGGGTATTTATTCATATATAGTAGAGACTGAAAATCAAAGGTTTAGTGGCTTACCCTCGATAAAACTCCCGTCACAGTCCAACAGCCTCTTCGAAAAAGATTTGAACGCCTTCTACTTCCCCAAAAGCTCCTCTAAAGTAAACAATGTTTCAAAAAAGTTGATTCGAGAAAAACAGAAGCAGTAGGATCTTAGACGATTCCAGACCTCCGAACTCATTACAATTTTCCGACGTCTTGCACTTTTGTCGGGAAGTGACTAATATGAATTTATTTACTGCGAATCTCTAAATACGATCTGATTCAAGACAAAGCTGGGCGACATACTTACTTTGACTAAATATACAGTATACATAGTATAGGGTGCAGTATACAGAAGCTTCTGAAAATGTGTATGCAATTACAGTAGCTACGTGGCTCCGTCTAGTCACAGATACCAAGACCAAGTTATCTCTACAATTGTTGAAGTAAACTTGAAACCCTGACACATTTCAAAAGATTTTTGAGGTGTTGAATGCCAGCAGTATTTCAAAGCTTGTTACTTTGAGAGACGGGTAGTAGTAACGGTTTTGTATAATCGATCCGCCGCATGCGGCTTTCGCGGACCATTTGCTTCATTATAACAGTTGTAGCTTTCTTCGTACAGCTCAATCGCTATGCGATTGTTACGTCTGGCATGATTCTACTGTTAGTTCTTATGTTCCTGTATTACCTACTTGCTGCTGCATTCTGCTACATTCCTTTGCGCGCGACGTCTCTCTCGTCGCGACGCGACAATTTCCTTCCTACTGCACCACATCCTCTTACTTTGTTAGGTCTGGGTTGACCTCTATAGGTAACGGCTTGCAGTGCACCGAGACAACTAACAACCGAGGCAACCAATCAAAACAAGGAGGGTAGCGGGATAACTAGCGAAGAATCGCCGCGCATCAAATACAACGTCGCACATTCCTACCATGATCAAATAAATTGAGGGGTCGTAAGATACGAGTGGCCTTTTTGACCACGTTCGATACAAATGAAATTTCATTTGAAAATGATTTATTCAAAGGAAAAAGAGCATTACTAAATTGAAAGAGGAATGATAGCAAATTTTATGATGAATGCAGCTTCGTATTCGTTGAAGGCATCATTCAACCCAGCCCTAGCGCTCTAATGAAACAACTTTTATGTGAATAACAATATAAAGCGTGCATGAATAGACAAATACCATAAAGCCTTGGAACAAAGGTGTTTTCAGTAGTTGGCCATATGCCAGATATCAATTGGAACTATTGTACTTATGAGAAGTATTCCTAAAAAAAATAGGCTGATAAGTGAAATGAAATACATAATGACGAGATTTAGGATCACTTTCTGTAATATAACAGACATGTACCGCATTTGTAGATAAAGTGAGAACATATGAACCGGTAAGAATCGCGGAAGTTAAGGCAAAAGAAGCGATTACGTGCATGGTAAACGGTGAAATGTGCTTGCCTTCACACATATCCTCGCAAACAGAAATATGCCACAACGCGTCACGGCATGCGACGCGGACGAGTATAAACAGGAAAGCCTATGTGAAGCAGTGGAGTCAAAATCATATGTAAATGAATGTTTGAGAAGCTAGAAGAAATAGAACGTCATGCGATGCCGAGATGGAGATAAAGTAGTAGCTAGTGAGGAGTGCGAAGCTATTTGAGGGGAACTTTCCCTCAGGCCTGCTTTCGGAAAACGGAAATCGGAACAGCTACTGACCAAGTGTTAACCAGTTAACTCGGCAGTTCAATATGACACTGACTTGTCAGTACCTTGACTGGGACTTCAGAAAAAAATTGGACTCTACGACCTAATGGCTTTGCAAAAATATTCCTGATAGAGTTCTGTAATGGAAAGCGGAACTCGCCAAGTTTTTTTCCGGCCAGTTTCCGACTTCCGCCTAAGTTGAGGTTGATNTGTTCGTATTCTGATGAACGTTACAGCCTTACACTTGGAGCCTAGTTTCTTTTACAGAACCGTTATCTTTGTTCCGATTTCCGACTTCTCTTAGCAGTGTCAACGTACATATACGTTACGGACTTGCACAGATTAGTCGTGAAGGCGTTGAGATAAGTACTGTGCAGTGCAAAATCGTGCATGGTCCCCAGGAAGCCACGGTGTTCGGCCTAGTTCTGTTGGTCGACATAAGCAGGTGGCACACCAACGACATCAGTGTCAGCCACTTCATCTTCAGCAGTGTCGTCGCTGAGTGATTTCGAACGAAGACGTGTTCTTGGCTGAAATGAGATGCATCCTTCAACTGTACAAGACCTATTCTAGTCTTCAACATACAACCTTTACAACCATTTAGAAAACGTCGAAGAAAATTGGTAACCAGTGTTCTACCTCTCCGTCACTGACTGATTGCTCGTCCTCCTCTTCTTCATGGCAGAATTCGTTTTCATTTGCCGTCTTCTTAGTCCATCCACGTACTGAAATGTGGTGTATAAGGGTATATGAAGAAAATCAATCGATCACTGGCTAAATATACAGTGTAAGGGGTAACAGTATGAGCCACAGAGTCTACAGTGTCCCATGGTCGGTGATCCCAGTGCTTCCTTGAAAGCCAAATTGGCGAGAGTACCTACCCCGACGAGTCAGAGCTACGATTATGACAGATTTTGTAGCAGTACACGCCTATAGCCTTTCAAAAGTTACAAAACAAATTGAAAGGTACTCTTCGGATGCAGCAGAAACGAAATATGCTACAACTTCGCGAATGATTCCTACTTCACAAAGTAAGAACGAGCTGGTGCCCATGGACAGGCCCACCTGCCCAACACAGGCCAGAACTTGATTTTCGGAGACAATTCATCTTGCCCATCCTCAACAATTGATTTGTTAGTATATTTCCACCAAACCACTGCATAAGACAACTCCGCGTGCGGACGCAGCGCGATCAGCTCAGCCATGCATGCGGTCGATCAATGCTCCGCCCTCCCACATTGTGACGGCAAGAGGACCGTAGTTTCTGCTTTCGGAAAATGTAAAAAAAATCGAACCTTGCTGCCCGACACTTTGTTGTCGTTTGAACAGATCTTTCTTGGAGCTGTTCAGTACGGACGCATGATCAACAGTACTCTCATGTGGCATTAACTGCATAGCAGCACGGAAAAAGTAGAAAGACGGATAGTGTACAAGATTATAGCATGAAGAAGCGTAGAGATCTGCGTATCTGAAAAATAAAAAAAAAATTAAAAAATGGAAAGAAGAAACAATGCTCAGAAAACTACCCTATGAAATCGATTTCGCTCTATGATGCCGTTGTAGAGTTACATTTTTTTCATATTCACAAATGTACTTGCCATCATTGTTACAATGATATTGGACATAAAAGAACGGAGTGAAAGATTACCACAAATAGAGCCCCCTTATATCAAAACATTGCACTAATTTGGCCATAAGTGAGCCGCAAAATGTTCCTAGGAGAAAACGCGGGGATTCAAAAGATGGATATTCAGCTGCAGTCAGTATTTTGTCCTCTTGCTATACTCTGTATGAGGAAAGAAATGGATAGGAAAAACATACCTTTCAACTTGGCAAGCGAAGAATGTGGTCCGTGAGCCGGCACGAAACAGCGAGCCCAAAACTCCATATTCCTGATCCATTTCGTGGCTGATACTCTGAAGGAGAATTGATTTTTTTTACAAATTTTCATCGATATGTACAATTATTACCAAGATCGCCAAAATGAAAAATAGTACGCTCATGTCTTATTAGCTAGGAAATATGGGTCAAAGAAATGGGTGGGATAAAGCTCAAAATCAGTTGAGCGTTTTAAATGTAACTCGAAGTAAAGCTCCCTTGCATTCCTGTATCGCAAACCAACCCATTATTCGGTAAGGGAGACGGGAGTAGGAACAGTTTTCTGTAATAGATTTGCCGCACGCGGCTGTCGCGGAACATTCGCTTCACAGTTATTACAGCTCTAGCGGTCTTCGTACAGCTCAATCGATATGCGATCCTTATTTTAGGCATGATTCTACTATTAGTTCCTTTGTTCCTGTATTTCTTAGCCGCTGCTGCTGCATTCTGCTATATTCCTTCGCACACGCCCTCCCTCTCGCCGCGACGCGACAATTTCGTTCCTACTGCACCACACCCTTCGGATATACCAGGTTGTTCAGTGAAACCCAAGTACTTTCAGTGGATGTTTAAAATGGGACAGCGGTAGTTTTATTTCTCTCAAACGTCACCATAGGTATTTAGAGACTCATAAAATGAACAGTCATAAGAAAGGGAATCAAGTCTTCTGACCAAGAGCTATTCCTGTTTACTACAAAATGAGCACAAGTACATACCTTAACTTGCTGAAGAACACCTTGAATTTCTGGTTTGCTCTTTGAAGTTGCGTCCAAGTGTTTGTAAATGTCAGCCAATGCGTTGTCGAGTTGGGTGAGCTTTTCGAACAGTGGCCGACGATCTGTCCATACCGTCAACTCATGGTCCAGCTCTGGTACTACCAAAAATGTCCTCCAACCGCGAGATTTTTTAGATCTGAAACCCGAAAGTCCACAGTGTTCGTTTGACCTTTTCAACGTAAATACATATATACTAGAAACAGCAGCCTAAAACGCAAATAGGCGTAGTCGCACGAACAAGTAAATGAATAAACAAACAAATAAACATATTTACGAAAAAACGTCTCTCTAAATGCTACCCTCTCCCTTTTTTATTGTACGGTTGCTCAAAATAAGTGAAGAACGTAAGCGCCGAATTATGGTTCGTAAGACTATGCTTTTGCTAGCTCAGATGACGAGTGGGCAGGATTGGGCGGGGCTAGAGACGGGTATGTATAGAAGTGCCATGGTATCACCCAGCACTTGCATTACTCGAAGAAAACAATAAGAAAAGGCATCCCGGATATTCCCTGAATATGTCCTAATGAGTAGATTTTAATGATCATTAATATCCAATAGTGGATGTGCATGATGCTCTCAGTCGGCAAAAACTACCAGAAGACGTTGTAACTACTTTAGAGGCCCTTAAACGCATGACAAGGTTAGCATATCCTTACAAAAGTTACATGTCTAAACTAGTAAGTATTCCATATGTATTTACTATCGTAGTCACTTAAAGTCATCGAGGCAACAGGTTATGTGACGGAAACCAGAGGGTTGTCAAAAATGGCGTACAATTTCGTATTAAATGGAAAAGTCAAATGAATATAAAGAAACTTTTTCCCAAACAAAGAATCTCTCTACAAGCGATACAAAGAAAAATAAAGACTTCTTCTTTCCAGAGTATAAAATGCTCAAATGCTCGAAACTACTCCTCCCTTTAACAAGAGATTTGTTTTAAAGAACTAAGAGCATTTAACTGAAAATTTTCGAACAAGAGCAGCAGTAAGGGATAGAAAAGCAAATGAATAAAAACGACTAAAAAGGGCAAGAGACAGGATATAAATTAAATCAACTAAATATATAACAATGCGATGGACGCGATCGATTCCCCACAGAACTGCATAGATTCATTTTGAACCAGGCCGACATTGCAACGGGCCACATGGGCCCGAGGATTCAAAGGGGAGATTTTTTAGTAAAACGAAAAGAGGCCTATTTAGCAATCAGGTTTTGCTTGCTTAAGTAATTAATTAATTACAAGGGGAAAACCTTAGAAAATACGGTAAACAAGTATATCTGAAAAGGCAGCGAAGAATGTTTACCTCAGAACATCACCAAAGATATGATCTCCGATGTAGAGCACATCCTTGCCTCTAGCCTTCACTATTTTATGGAATGCATCACTCGAACCTAGAATTGCAATCAATTTCAAGGAGAAAATAAAATAAATAGGAAAACAAAAAAGCAAAAAAAAAAGATAAAACAAGTTAAAATGACTGAGAATAAGATAAAATTAAGCAAAATAAAGTAAATGATGTATAGTAAAAAATGAAATAAAATAAAATAATTTATGCAGAGCAAAAAATAACAATAAAACAAATTTTCTGTTAAAAGCATCTCTGCGGTGATTCCATGTCTGCACGAAATAGGTTCACGCAAGCGCTCAAGCACCGATTTAACAGGAAACAAACAAATTTATAACTTTACCTTCTGAGCGAAACAGTAAAATCTTGCTAAGTAAAAAAACACACCTCCTGAATAAACAACACCTTCCTTCAGAGGCCCTGTATGGATTCCTAGCGTGACAGCACCAGATTTGGTATCGACCTGGAATTAGGCAATTGATTCAAAGAATAGAAAAACAAAAATCAGACTATAAAATACTCATTCATTTAGACTGAAAAATTCTGGGAAATCAAGTGTTCCCAAGGATGAAAATTTCAAAAAACACAATAATGATGTGTTGATGTCTCTTCTAATACATTCCATTTCAGGGGGCTTCTTCACGAATAAATGAGGGAAAATCAACGACATTACAAAACTAATTCGATTAAAAAATCTCGTAAGAGTTAAAGCATGTTTCTGCTGCGTATTTTGGAAAGATCTAGACGTACCTAGCTTTTGGGAGGTGACTTTGGGGAGGAATTCTAGCGAAGGTAGGTTCATAACCTATCGAGGAACATTCATATACTTTTCGAAGTAGCTTCTCTTGTTCTTGGTCCTATCACGCTTACTATTCCATTACGAGTTGCAGAATTACAAAATGTTGAAAATTTCGAAATCGAAACTGCTACCCGTTGCATTACCGGCGCTGGACATTGACTGAACATTGCTTTTTCTAGATTCTCCTTTTATTACTTTACTACTTTTATCACAAGAGTATCGCCTACTTGACTGAATAATCCTAACTCGTGCTCAGACATGCGAAAAAGTGAGGCTATACCTGACATCTACATCGAAAATGAGGCGAAACCTTCAAAAGTAGAGCTAATTAGTAAAAATAACTGAAGGATTATGTTGCCAGCAAATAAGTGTTCAAAGACGTTCAAAAATCATCCCTTCAACCTTATAGCTTCGCTTTCATTATATGAATCGTTATAACTTCATATGCACAATCGCCTGTGTTAGGTGGCGGCTATTGGTGAGAGGGCGTGGCCTTTGTAGTGGGCGTGAATCTTGCGATGAGACATTTTTAAGCTTTTGTTTTCAACTCTGAAAGGTAAAATCGAATTAGCCAATCCGAGAATTTCGTCGTCTCCCGAAATAGAAGTATCCACTGTAAACAGATTATCGCAAATCCACTTCAATGAGTGTGTCCTTTACTTTCTTCACTCAAAAGATTTCAGACACTCCCAGCTTAAAATCTCAACTTTTCTCAGCTTCCTTGGTCGATAAACTAAAACAGCCACTAAAATTCGGTGGCCCGTAATCGTTTAATTTATAGTACAACCCAATAAAGAAGTAGTTCATGTCCGAATGCCAGATGTCTTCGAAAGAATTAGGAATAATCCAAACGTAAGGACATTTGTACTCAAGCTGCATATTTAATATGTAGAGTATGTTTACCTAGTTTGGACAAGTTACACGAACATCCCATTATGAATTCCACGCTAATTTTTCGGAAATAATTTCTAAATTTTCAAAGAAATTAAAAAAAATTGCTCTCTAGCCAACATGGCGTGATCTAAAATATTTTCAAAATACGGCAATGAAATAGTACAGGTGACTCTCTGAAAGACTCTCCAAAGACAACCAGGGGACCGTATCCAATCACTTTCGGGCTAAATTTCGAAAAAAAAAATTTTAGAAGAAAAGAAAAGAAAAAGATTGCAGAAGCCACCTGATAAAGTACACTCAACGTCTGAAGAAACGTGTGTTTTCTCGATAGTCTTATGTTGGAAAAAATGGAGGGGCTGCTTTCATAGTCCGCGATTTGGCCCGCGAGCGCGCGACGGGGGACTCTCGTCCGGCGGAATTGACCAAGATTCAATTGCAAACAAGGGGCAAGCGCCGCCTCCGTCGCTTGCTCGCGGGCCAAATCGCAGACTATGAAAGCAGCTAAAAACTTCATACCTTCGCATAACTTTTACCAAAGCCAATCGTTCAAATTGTAATTGATTTTTAAAATAAAAAATTTATCTTGCTGACCTTCCGGAAAACAGTTCCTTCAGCAAACCACATCGGCTTTTTAGCGTCGACGACTGTAATATTGAAGAACGATCGCCAGTCGTCACCAAGTACGAACGACATCATTTTCTGAAGGTTAACTCTCATTACTACGATATTTGGAACCCGAGCGGAACTAATAGAAGAATGGTTACTTAGAATAACAAAAAATATTAAAACTCAGGGAATTATGGAGGAAGAAAGACAAATTTTCTAATTGGAATCATGTAAATATGAACCGTTTCTATGCATTGAATCGAGATAAACCAGGTTTATTTTCTATCGCTACCCTATAAGAGCGGATTCTGAACTTTGATCCGATCCACTCGCTTAAAGAAAGGACCAAACGGGTTGGATTACTCATGAAAATGGTCGGAAGTTCCTTCACAAGCACTAGAGTACATTAGGTATTCCAGACGCATGGCGTAAACTAGAAGAGCAAACCATAAACCACAGCCGTCAGTGAAGTCAGTGTATGCGAATTCCCAATCACAAGAGAAAACTACTGCTCAGTAATTACCAATAGTAACATCCTGTTTTGCCAGTTCACTTCAAGAGATAGGACTAGCCTGATTAGACGGAACCAGTAAAACTACTCACATCTGTATACCTATAGTCGCTGTTTGTAAGCAGAAAAGTTTGCCGTCCTGCCTCTCGTAGTTGTTGAAGCAGTAATCGAGCACGATCTTCACGTACAACATACTTTTCCATATTTTGCATTATCATCTCTTTCATATCGCTCTGTAACATAACATCTATTACTATGTTATACAATAAGGTATTTATAACTAGGATACAGACCCAAGCTGGGTTTCTTGCGCAGCTGGCCTAGTGGCACGTGGCGCACTATCACACACTCATAACCCGAGTTCGAATCCAGAATCGCACTCGAACAAGCAAACCGAGTCTTTCATCACCCCGGGTCAATTAGTTGGTATCAGACTCTTCTGAGAGTTAAAGGCAATGACTTGGCCTTCACAGGTGATTGTGTAGATCATTACGCAATCAAACCACCACTACATTCCGAATGGAAGTCGAATGCGGGGCGCAACCCAAAAACGCAATTGATCAACGCCAAAAACCTTATCCTCTACCCAGCTGCTTACGCTTTGAGAATGAAACAGTGAGGGCCTCAAGTGGGTGGATAATAATTCTGGTCTGTTGTAGGAGGGTTATAACTTTAATTTATATCACATTAGAACTTCCTCTCATAACTTTTGACCTGTTACTTGCTTATCACTGAAGTTCCCTACACTAAGTTTACCTATTCTAGAAATCAAAAAAGTATTTTTTTTGTTGACCTCTTATATGAAAGCAGTACACCAGCGCATTAATTCGTGAATTCGAGTTCTGTACTTGGACCGGTCCTGCCCATTAAGGTCTATAACTTCAATAAGGCCACCCCTAATTGTATCTAGCTTAATAGAACCCCTTTTGGAGTGTGTTTTTGTGTGTTTTCAATTGGAAGGCGATCGGTCTTCCCGAAAATTGGACACCTTTTTGGGTTATTCAAGGACAACAATAGTGCAGAAATGACTCATACCAATCATCCGATAACCAGTTTCACGCAACATGTAATTGTAACCAATCTAGGGATACTTAAAAGGCGATTAAGAGTCAGAATTGTAGGAAGTTTTCGGCCTACTTTCCGAATTACGCATTCCGATTTCCGAAAAGCGGCGCCTGGAGGCGATTTGTATGGCTGTCATGGCGCACTGCTTCCCAACATTAGCTATATTCCCTTCCCTTGCATTGTGTGTCTTGACTTTTTAATCGGAATGGTTCTCCGGAAGTCTTCGAAAAACTGCCTTTCTCTTCGATTTTCGATTATCCTAGCCAGTTACTTTTGAAACGGCATTTTTAATGATGAAATCCATCGAGAGGCATTTTCTCCCGTCTTACCTTCAGTGGCATTATTAAGCTTTATAAAGAGAGAAAACTCTGGTCCTCTTTCTTCTATTATGCCATGACCTTTCACGATGCGAATTCTCTCTATGCCACTCCAGGAACTTGGAAACGATCGATAAAAAGAATCAATAAAATAATACCTCAAGATGAGCCCAGTCAAAAGCACTTCGACAATCATGAAATATTGACTTGTACGACATCATCACATCACCACCTCGGACCCCGGTTTTGTCTTCAAGCCTGAAAGGGACCCATCGATTACTCCTGCTCAACGGCGACACGACGAAAGCCTTTTCCAAGAAACATTTCATTTTATTATCGCCAGCTCATGCACTCTTAATGCTGCGATCATCTTTAAACAAGGGTATTAAGCTGATGGCCCGCTAAAACGCCCCATATGAACCCACCAGACGGCCCTTCATGACAATGGTATTAGTAGTGTTATCGCGAGTCATGGAACGATAAAATGCAAGGGAACGTCATTTGATGTCTACTTTTCGGGGAAAAACGGACCATATTCACAATCCAAAATCGTTTTACGAACATTGGGCTATCCTACGAGGTTAAAAGAACCCTGAACGAAGAAAAAATTAAGGTCCAAAATCGGCTCAGCCCAAATAAGCTGTAGAGCGGTTTCGTGATGCTAAGTCCATTGTGCCNNGATTAGTTTCCGAAAATTTCTCGTAATTTTCAAATAAAATGAGAGTGTCTCGGACCCTTTCTGAGTCCAATGAAAAACAACTTACGGCGTATAGTCGGGATGGCTATCAAAAAAGTCAATGAGATAGGCTAGCAGATGTGTTTCTGGCAAATTGAAAAGGGTGTTCAGCACGAAAACACGCATTTCAGATAGCTGAAGAAACTTATTCGGATAGATTTCTTCAATTTCCGATCTGAAAACAACATTTTCTTCCTTTACTAGCATAGCACTCAACTCCTCGAGCCTTTCAAGGATCTGACGTCAGAAAAGCTTACGTCTTCAGGAATTTGAAGCCATGCATGCCAACCAGAATGTTTCCGAAACCATCGACTTTGAGAAGATTCCCATAGGCATAATCAAACCAAAGACCTACATGGGAATTGTTAAGATCGATTTTAGCTGATTCTCTGATTTTCAAATTAATTCACCTCGAACAGGGAATATCGGATCATATTTGAACTTTCGAATTCCCTCCGGATAGCCGATGGCAATCAAACGTTCTACAGCCAAATCGAAAGCTAGGATTTCGAGATCAGGCGATTTATACTCTGAAATGGGCACGTGATTTAATTGTAGATGAATGTGTCATAGCGATTGTTGTTTGGATGGATGGACAGCGATATTCTAGATAATGGTTACGCTGATTCCTACTGATTTTGCCCTTTGTGTGATGCTCATTTTCGATGATCCATGAAATCTGGCCTGATTGAGAAGAAAAAACAACTAGATTACTACCAGTTACAGTGATTCATCTAACCTAGTTGTATGGGGGAATACTGTAGTAACTTACGGACAAGTGTGTAGTCCATGTCGAAACCAAAGTAATTGATCTTCTCCATGCGAAGGGATCGATTAACGAACACCCTGAAAGACCATCAGTAAGGAAGGGCATTCTAAAACAGAGTAGATTTGATTTTGGTGGTTTTTCGCTAGGTACACTCATGCAGAGACGCTTTTCCGGGTGTGTGACCTGAAGAAGGGTGGTACAGCGGAATTTGTGGGCGTTTTCGGGCCATGAAGGCATATACGATGAGAGGATCCGAGGAGAATGGGCCTAAACGAAAGAATGAAATGAAAGATCGGGAACCTTTGTTCAGGAGTCCGTTTGTGAAGAATCGCATCGGCAACCATGTCCAATAGAACCACCAAAAAGGGGAGAATGAAGACCGCAATGCACTCTATGCGTTAGCGATAGGCGTTATTTCAGCACTGCGCCAGACAGCCAGCAGTAGTCGGTGGTGGCCGCGCCGGCGACCGCCCACCTCACAATGAACGAAACGCCGAAAAAGCCCTGTGCCCCCAGCTCCCAAGTCAGTCAGTCGGTCTTGTTTATTACATCAGACTACTTCCCAGACCCCTTCCCTTCACTATCAACATCCCCAATTAATTGACCTTGCAAGCTGATTCGGGACTCTTTAACTCAAGAGTGACCAAGCCATTGAACACTTCTCGCTGTCCGAAATGCAATTTGTTTGGCTCATTGGACTTGCCCCATTCCTCAACGTCCGCGTGTCCAATTCTGCGCAGTGTTTTTCTCGTTCAGACGTTTTCAGAATAATCGAATTCCTCTCCCTAGCCGAACGCTATTTTCTGCATGCATAGACTTGGTTAACCCGATTCTGCTGCGGCAGTGAAATCGTGAGCCATGGTGTGAACACTTTCAGATCGTCTCTACTGGAGAAAACTCGTACACCTTCCAGATAAATTACCAAATAAAATCATAGTTTCATGGCAAGTTAACCTCAGAATGCTTCTTCCCAGCCGACAGCCTCCGAAAATCAGTTACACTTAAGAACTACAGTAGTACTTGTGCAGTCGCGCTCTAGTGTCCTATGAAGAACACACCAAATTTGGCAAAAACAGTTATGAAGCTAATAAACCAGTAGTTACCATAATTTCTCAGAACCCCTCATCTCCAGTTAATCAGCTTTATGAGAGTAGAGAAAGGGGGAAGGGTGACAGTGCAAGCATGACCCTGAAATCAAGTCTGTCGCGGATGGGACCCCTTAAGGGTCCACCAAACTTTCAACCCTTTGTAATCGGGTATTACGTAGAATCCATCGCCTATTCCAGAAACTTTCGACGACTGATTCTTAATGGGAACCAAGAGTAGCGGGAAGGGGTAGGGGCGCTTCAGAAGGAATCGATCAACGTCAAGCGCTCCATTGTCACCTTCATTCTGAATACCTACGTATTTACCTAGGTTAGTAAGAGTGTCAACACAAGAACTAATATTTCAGCAATTGTAACCTGTATGGTAAAACTTTGTAGTAAGCCGAAAGTTTATTCCAACTGGTTTGAAAAAGTGCACGAGGATTGTTCAACTTGTAACAGCCCCGTCCCTGGTCCTTTCGCAAGATTTTTCTACTCGAGATTCCCACCGATACCGACCGAATGAGACCGAAACTCATCCAAAGTCGATTGGCACGCGAAAGGATGTTGTTGATGATGCCAGTCAAGGGCATAACGCTTCATGATTTTCATATAATGCCATGTCAAAGAGAGTGCAGCCCTTTAAAAACTTCCCGACGTGACGTGGACAAGCCCATGCATTACCCAGATGAGATAGAATTGAAGGATTATGGAAAAGGAATTATTCCAGAAGAAACCAAATGGAATCTTTCAGAATGTGGGGTTAATTCGCTTTTGAAAACCAGGCGATTCAAAAAGTTCAGATCAATAGTATGCCATTAGCGAATGCCAGAAATAACCCAGTTTTGTAGCAGCTCAAAAAATTATCCTTCAAACTAAAGTCGATGCTGTGCTTAACACAAATTATCAAAGTTAGGAGCGTTGCGATCATCACGAGGTCATTACGAAAGGTCTAATGAAAAAAGCCCGCCTCTCGTAGGAAGTCCCGCCTTTTTCCTGAGAGTAGTTTTCTGGCGGCTTTATTCTACTTTGAGATGTAACAAAAAAGGGTCAGATATCAGTGCTGGTTTCAAGGCGGTCGCCGAAAATACATTATAAGGCATCTCCGCAGAGACCGGCAGTACCGCCCTCCTAGTTTATCCGCGTATCCTTTTTGCAAAGCAGTCCTCATCGAACATTTCAAACAAACTTATAGTAAAAAAAAACATTCCATTCATGTAAAATGGAATAAAGTGTGCGTTCATACTCCACTCGAGAAGTTTCAGGGGTAATTTTAAGAAGGAGCTAGCTCACAGAAAGGACGAGAGCTGGAGCTTACAGAGGTTTCGAGGCATGAGGCTTGCCGATTCTGTACCCTAGAACCACTAATGGGCCCCATGAAATCAGGGAATCATTGAAAGCGTCTGAAGACAATTGCAAACTACTATTTACAGTACCAGTATTATACCCTGTTGACCCACACAGAGTGAATATGCAAATCTACTTTCCTGACTGGCAATTTTTGAGAGTATAGAGCACTTTTGCACCTTACTGTCGGTCGTTCTTGTTACATAAATTGACAAAGGCACAACGTCGAAAATAACTCTAGGAAAGGACTATTTGTCAACATATGTTACTTAAGTAATCACTTCAGGAATAAAAATGTTC